GTTTCTTTTTATTGTTATATATTATAATCCTCATTATTATTATCATCAGTATTATTATATTGTTATTATTAGTAGTATTATCAGTATTATTATTATCATAATCAGTATTATTATTATCATCATCAGTATTATCATTATTTTCAGTATTATCATCAGTATTATTAGTATCACTATTATTACTATCATCAGTAAGTATTATTCTTACCATCATACTTTTTAAATTATTATTATCATCATTATTATTATTTTTGTTATTATCATTATTATCAATTACTAATATTATCGTTATCATTATTACAGTTGCTATTATTATCGTTATATTAATATTTGTATTATCAAAAATCACCCCATTTTACACCAAAATGATATGAGTTCAAATCCGCAGTCACATGCATTTTGATACCAGGCAAAAGTTAAAGAACACGAAAGACTACAGTTGGAAAAACTGTATTATACCTTCTACCATAGACCTTGCGATACAGATAATATTAAGTGTTCGAGCATGTTTGTGTATCTATAAGTATATATATACATATAAATATGTATATATATACATATAAATATGTATATATATACATATAAATATGTATATATATACATATGTATATATACATATGTATATATATACATACATCTATGTATATATACATTGTGTGTGTCTGCATGTACGTGTTTTTATTCACACACATGCGTGCATCCATATTCATATATGAATTGAGTAAAGGTAACTGTAGAAACAAAACACCAACTCTGAGATTTTCACATGAACGAACATTACGCCTTCCAGATATGTAGTCTGATGCATGTTGTGCGGAAAATATATTGCTGCAAGCTGTGTGTTGAATAACTTTAATTCACGTCTTTTCTAGAGACGTCACTGACTCATCATTCGCGTGGTATTTTATTTACCTTTTCCTAGTTTTAAATTACAGCAGTTTGGCAATTCAGGATCTCTGATAAAACACCGATGTTTGCATGTAACAGTAAGAGACACCGTGATTACAGTCGTATTTAGTCTATTTCCGGTCATCATCATGGCCGTTAGAAATGTTGAGGAGTAAAGAATAGCCAACATTAACGTTGTATTAGCGATAATAATGATGATAGTGATAACAGTGAAAAAGGTGATAGCGATGACGATGGCGATAGTAGTACACGGTAATAACAACAAAAGTAATAAAAATATCTGCGATGATGATATTACTACTGTGATTTACATAACGAGAAATATGATACTAGTGAATATAACCTTAAGACTAAATATTGGAAGTGATAATAATTATAGTTATGGTAACAGTATATACACGTATATAGGAAAACTTCTTACCTGTGATTCATACCAGTGCACATTCTGCTTCTAATAGTTACGAAATACCTGTACATAATGTCGCCCTGGAATTTCCATGCAGGAAGCATCGGCCTTTCCATTGTAAAAGTTGTGTGCTGTCTGACATTTTTAGAGTCTGTGAGCATGGCTGGGGAAACACGTGATCTATCCAGAGGAAACACGATGTGTATAAAGGTTCACACTAAATATTACGACTCCAATAACAAAACGACAACAGTAACAGCAGCGCGTAAACATCCGCAGTTATACGAGGTCGCAGCGTTTCCAAGAATTTCTTCGTCTGCTGCATGTGGGATACCCCTTGCCTACAGGGGGTCCGGGAGGGTTGGAGAATAGGAAGATTTGTGTCGAGTATTCCCCCACGTTTATAAGGCCGTTGGGCGGAGCAGAAACAACACTTTAGGTAGTGTTCTCAGTCGATGAGGTAAGAGGCTCCGACGACGCGCCATCTAGTGTTGACTTACCGTCTTGCCTGAAGTCTGTGTGCACGCTTGCTTATTTGCTCTCGGCGAAAGCTGTTCTTTCTACTAGGGTTACTTGATTTTGTCGTTCCATTCAGCATTTCAAGATTCAAAGGCTTTGTCTGTGCTTAGTGTTTACCAGTTATCAACATATGGTCTTTATTTGAATGTTGTGGATGCCACCGAGACTGGATATTAAGTAATATCAATTCTTTCAGAAAGAAATTACAAGAACCGAACCATCGACAACAATTAAACGGTCTTAATCCCTGCCTTCCCCCCACAAAAAATCGAGACAACCGACTTCTCTGAAAAAGAATACAAACAGTACCCGACATAGTGCTTTCAGAACTGAGACGCTCTCTAGACCATGAGTAACCTTAACGAACACCATAACCTGTGGATGACACCTCAGTTTCCTTCAGACGGTCCCTATGTTGCAGGAGTCACGATGGCTTACTGGCAACCACCAGAAGAAGGAGCAATGAGAGGACTCGTCGATGAAATAGAAGCCTACCTCTTTCTGGACATTGGTGAATGGGAGGGCAAGGTAAGTCTCAAAGCCTACTTTTATATTAAAGTTGAGTGAGGTGGAAGGGTGCCCGAATCACATACAAACATTTCATTCTTCTAGTAGTGATATTTTATATAAGTTTATTGCTTTTACAGTTAGTGAATTTGAAAAGATGAGAAGGGTGACCGAATCACACAAACATTTCATTTTCCTAGTGTTTATATCTATATCGGAAGGCAGTGGCGTAGATAGAGGGGGGTCAGGGGGGGGGGGCGAAAACTCCTCTTCTAGAGCTAAACTGCCATTTTGTTGGAAAATTGCTAATCTTGTCGGAAAATAATCATGAAGAAACGAAAATGCTTATTAAATTTTTGTCGGAAAATCTGCATTTCTCGCCCCCCCCCCCTCTAAAATTTCCTATCTACGCCATTGTCAGAAGGGGAGGGAAGTCTGTATTAATCCTGTACCCCTGGGGATGGTGTATACATGCCTCGTCCACTGTGATTTAGTTTATTATGTTTATGCATAGACAGATGTCTACACAAGTTCTTAGTCACAAGAAGTCTAACACTAGCCTTACCTGTCTCTCCTACTTCCTTAATTTTCGGAAAAAAACATGTTTTATTTATTGGTACTGTTAAAAAACATGATAATCATAAGGTTAATAAAGATTAAAATAGTATCAGTATTGATAGCATTAGGACAAAATCCCAGAAACGCAAGGAAAAGGGAAATCAGGTTGGTCCTTTTTTACAAGATCTGAAATTAATTTTGGTTTGCAATATATCAAGACTAAGATTTTCTAATAGTAAGATCCGTTTTGGCTGATGAGGGACAAGACTAGAGCTATTATTGTTAATTCGAGAATAGTAGTTTATGTGCCATAAATATAGTAAAAAAAAAATATATATATATATTCTTGATATAGGGGAGGAAGGGAGAAAGTGGAAGGTGGGAAATATATAAAATAGTTCTGCTTTAATTAATATATAATTTAAACTTATATTACTAATCATTTTTCATAGTGTAGGCAGGTAAGTTCACCTACTCAGCATGTTTCCAATTTTTCATTTCGCTTTGAAAGTATTTTTGAGAATAAAGGGGGGAACAGAAATGTAACATAGTAAGTCCGTAAATTGAAGAGATAAAGCCACAATAAAACAGTTACATTAAACATTCATGTAGAAAGGAGTACTGTCCATTAAAACCATCTATTATACAAGAGATGAACACTGTTTTCTTTAATCTACAGTCTGAAATAATTAAAATCAAACTACCTTGGTGGACTGAAATGAAATCTGAATATTTGACAAAAAATAACAACAGCATTTTCCCATCATACCCAATACTACATTTGAAAAAAATAAAATCTACATTAGTTCAGGGTACCTCACCAATAGGACACCTTTACCCTTCATTGGGTAGCTTGTTCTGCAATAAAAATGGCGTAAACGGTAATCTTTAATATTTGAGCTGAACATATACACCAGAAATAAATCTTAATTCTATACTATGCACATAATTCAGGGTGCTTCACCAATAGGACACCTTCACCCTTTCATTGGGTAGCTTGATCTGCAATAAAAATGCCGTTAAAGGTAATTTCTAAAATTTGAGCTGAACATACACACCAGAAATAAATCTTAATTCTATACTATGCACATAGAGCAAGTTATATTTACTCACTATTATATAGGAAAAGTATATATTTCATTATTTTTAATTAGTTTAGCACAATCGCTAATTATTACTTTGGCTAAGGTTTATACTAAACTGTAACATAGATTCTACCCTCTATGTGCTATCCGTGTTTTAGCATACACAACACAAAATCTAGGGTTTAAAAAGCCACTCATTTCTGGCTATCAGGTCTGTCATTTTTAGTGCTATCATCAAATTTCTCTGTATAATTGCTTGGCTCTCGTTATCGTTGCTATTATCCTTTTATCTATTTCCTAGCCTTATAGAGAGCTTACAATGATGAGTTCTCTTACATATTTTATCAAGTCATATTTCTTTTTCTGGAGTGCATGTTGATTTTGTTCTGGGCAGTTTTGAATGTTGTAGCAGTCTCCTTCTTGGTCAAAGAACGAATTTCAGCAAACTCTTCCAAGCTCTATTGAATTTTGCTATTTTGATCATTACTCTGGAAGTTCATGTGCTTAGGTACAGAGTAATGATCAAAATGGCTGAAATTCCAGAGTATTTATCAAAATAGCATACTTGGTTATCAACATGAACAATGACTTCATACTGTAGATTTTGCAGAATACCTTTGGTTCCATAAATCACTCATGAGCACATAACCCAGAATTCAAATTTCATTTCCCACAGTTTTTAAATCTGGAATTAATATTCTCACATGAGAGGGGTGCGGTCAAATGATTTTAAAATACATCCAGGAAATGTAACTAATTTCCAAATATACAAAAAAGGAAGAAAAAAAGGAAAGTGTTTCATTGGGACAACCAATAGGGCTGATAAAATACTCTAGTGCAAGTGCAAAAACTAACTATTCATCCAGCCGCTCTGCATGACAAGACTTATTAGGTTATTTGCCAAACTTCATTCATTAAGGAACCAGAACATTAGGAATATAGGAATATCTATTTATTATTATAATTTTTTTTTTTTGACAAGAGAGGTACCATTTTGCACAGGACCCAACCACAGGCTATTGCGGAGGGTCTGATATTCCGTATGATGTTTCTGTTTGAAAGAAGTCTCACTTGTAATAATACATTGTGAAAAAGACTTCATTCACTCTGATTCTCCAGTGACACAATCCTTCGCTAGAACTACTGTGAACTGTTTTGTGGAGGAGGCTACTCAGTATTCTGCTTAATGGACAAAATCTTTGTCTAAGCTTTCAGAAACAAATGATGTCAAAAGTAACAATTTCTTTATGGGATCTCTGAATTTAATTTGTTGAGGGAGAATAGGAAGGATTCTAGGTCAGCCTGGTAACTCCTATATACTCTCTTTAAAAATAATAATATGGCAATACCACACCTGAAATCTAAAGCAGAAATATGGTACTGGTACCACAATTGCCATTTTCAACTTCAAGTTCATTATCATCTATTTCAAAGTGAATGACCTCCGAGCTGAGAAAACATATCGACTTCGATGCCAAAACCGTCCTGAAAATCTACAGGACTTCTGTATTCACCAAGCTGAATATCGTTCAGCTCTGTAATCGAAAGTGCCTTTGAGGTTTTCTGTCCTCACACCACATGTTAGGGCCCCTCATTTTGGATAACTCGAAATTAACCCGAACCGCCACACTCATCGTGTTTATTGCGATAATTGTAGAAAAGGTGAGAAAGAAAATGTATATCTGTATTGCAAATCTGAGGAAGAGGTAATCGGAACCGGTTATACTCCTCCCCAGCAGTGTGAAGATATCCATTCTCATTCATACCTTTCCTACGCCCTAATCCTCCTAATCCTAACAGATGTTCTTTTCCCCTTCCCTAGGACTGTGTCGACTGGGCCAACGGCGTGTGTCGCCACCTGAACATCGACAGTAACATCGTCAACCTCTGGGCATTCACCAACATGACAGGGACTCAGTTGCTGTCATTCACATATGAGGATTTCTGCAATCATGTGGGTACGGTCTACGGCCTAAGCTTCTACAGGGAGTTCATGCGACTCGTAGAAAGCAGGGAAGCAGGTAAGGAGATTCGTGGCTTTCATTTGAAAGGTTTCTTTGAGAGACAGAGGCTGTTATCCCAATTTGACCCGGGCCATGAGACTTTTCTCCTAGCCCACAGTGGGCATTGGAGAGATATGTGCTTCCGACCTCCCGGCCGAAGCTAGACCGCAAATCTCACTCATTTACTCACTTCAAATGGGGAAATGGATTGTGTCATGATAGGATTGGACCTGTGACAGAATGGTCAAGTTTGGGAATACACACTCTTGTGTGTGTATGTATATATATACACACATGTGCTCAGAGTGTATATATATATATATGACTACCACCCAATGATTTATGCATTGGACTCTTTAACATTCTTGGTACTACCTGCCTGCTGTGGATACATAGTGGCATAGCTTTGCAACTGCAAGGTTCTGGGACCGAGCCCGATTCAGCTCTAAGTAGTGGCTTCATTATATTGGGGTTAAATTGAGGCAAAAGGATCTGACCACCCAACCGAATCATCCAGCAGGCCAGAATGTAGGTTCAACTATGAAAATGCTATGGCCGTTCATCAAGAACTATCTGTAACATGTATGAATAATCATCTCCTTTTATTTGGAACTGCCCAGAGCAACTGCGTGAGGCTTAACCTCAGGCAAGCTATCTAGGTAGGCGGTTGGAACATCTGGGCCTTGCGGCAGGATGAGGAAACTGAAACAGTTGCGAGTTGAGGTGGCTACCCTCTTGGAGGTGAGAAGACCTGGTAGCAGTACGATCAGTATGGGTGGGTATACCTACTACTGGTCAGGTCATGGCAATGGTCATCATCTCCAGGGAGTAGGCATAGCCATCTTCATCCGACTTCAACCTTTAGTAGTTGAGGTGACACTGGTTGATTATGGCATTGAGACTGAAGCATACATTTGGCTTTGTGTCTTATTGCTGTGTACACTCCTACCAATGTTTGCAAACTCGTGAAAGAACTCACATCCATGTCAGAAAATTGTCCCTGGCGAGACATTCACATTGTCCTGGGTGACTTCAATGCAGTATCTGGCTATCATCAAGCTGGTTATGAGATGTCTGCCAGTTCTCTTGGCTCGTGAGCTGATCCCAGCAGCAAGAACAGCCTCCATCTCTGGGACTTTGCTAGGTCCCACAGATGAAGATTTTTGGCTCCTGGTATCAGCACTCCAACCTGCATCACTGGCCATGGTATAGTCACTATAGGGTGATTTACTTGGACAAACTGAGGGAGAAGGAGTGGGCACGAGGGTTTGCCACAGCAGTCTCTTAATGATTCACAGAACTTGGAAACCTTATAGACCCAGATCCTCAGTGGGAGTCCTTCAAGTGGGAGTCCCTTGGCATATGCCCAAGGTCAAGGCAGAATTTCATCTCCCAGGAGGCACTGGAAGCATGTTGCATGTTGCTGAATATCGATCAGAACTTGTGCCATTCCTTGGTGCATAGCACTCGGACATTGCTGAGAAGGGACAAGAAACATTCATCAGGAATCTTGCTGAGGAAGTTGAGGGCCATTTCTTCGCTCTGCCTATCAAGTCCTGTGAAAATTGAACTCTAATCTCTCCTCACAGATGACTGCAGTCCACTCAGAGGATGGACAGATCATCTCAAATCATGTTGGGATTCGTGAACGTTGGGCTGAGTATTTTGAGCAACTGTACTAGGTAGACCCTCCAAAAGATAGTTTGGATGTTGGTGGTATCACAGTACCTGTGCCTTTACTCAGTATACCAAGCAAGGTGTTTGCCCACATTTTCCTGAAATGGATCTGCAACCACATACTGCGACACCAGAGACCAGGGTGGTCCTGGCAATTCCACATTAGACAGTATGCTAACACTCCAATTAATTGTGGAACTGTCGTGAATTTGGTCATGGATTGCCTGCATCCTACATTGATGGTGCATTGAGAATCACTATGGGAGATTCTGAGACTTTCGGGAATTCCGACAGGGATTAGTGGCCCAATAGCAAGCCTATATACCGGTACTGAAAATGCTGTAAAGTGTGATGGGGGCTTGTCACTCTTTTTCCTTGTTAATTTAGGCAAGGCTGTCCTTGCACCAACACTTTTGAACACCTGCATGGACTGGGTAATGGGTAGAGATACTATCCAAAATCAGTGTGGAGGAACACTGGGTAATATAAAGGTCACTTGACTTTGCTAACGATGTTGCTATCCTATCTGAGTCTCTGGAATCACTGGTGGCAGCTCTTGATGCATTTAGCAATGAGGCCCTTGGGCCTAGAGTTCTCCTGGACCAAGATCAAGATTCAGGACTTTGGGGGCCTGTTAGAGGAACCAATTCAGTCAGTCCATGCTTGTAGTGAGGATGTTGAAGTCACAGAGAGCCTTGCATACCTTGGTAACGTAGTCCATGTCTCTAGGCTGTCGGACCAAGAAGTCAGTAGACAGATTGGTCTGGCAGCAGGAGCCATGATCTCGTTTAACAAGAGCATTTAGAATATATGTACTTATGCAGAAGGACCAAGCTCTGTGTTTTCAAGGCGTTGATACTGCTAGTTTTTTTTATGGAAGTGAAGCCTGGATGCTATCTAGTGCCTTGGAGTCTCATCTTGATGCTTTTTGTAACAAGCCCCTTTGCTGGACCATGGAGTACAGTTGGCAGGACCATGAGTCCAACCAACGGCTACACCATGAGACTAGCATAATCTAGGATCACCAACTCAAGCTATATGGGCACCCAGCTCGTTTCCCTATGGATGACCCTACCCATCAGATTGTCTCTTTGAGAGACAATCATGGGTGGAGGAGGCCCGTGGCACAGCCTAAGAAATCATGGATTGGGCAGCTCAACAAAACCTGTTGCAAGTTAGAGAAGGGTCGAGGGCCTGCCTGGAGATTCGTACTGAAGGACCCTCGTGAATGGAAGCGAAGGGTGGATACGGCCATGAACCCCCGTCGGCGTTAGCCCCTTCATGATATATATATCATCACAACCGGCATGACCTGTCTTAATTAATATTTATTTCTCACTATCCATCAAATTTAAGATCAAATGTATGTTTATTATTATTCACAAGCACCAGCAAACGAGTAGAAATGTGCTGCAATCCTCTATCATTTACGTTATCCTCACAGAGAGTGCGCAACAGCCATTAGAGAACCCAGGACCTTCGAATCCCCAACTCGAACATCCAGGTAAGTCTCATCATCATCAACTATACCAAAAACTCAAATTTAATTGTTATAATAAATGAGTTCTGTTCAAAAGAGATTGGCGATAATACTAGAAATACTTGTCAAACATTCGCCCTTTTTTGGGGGGGTGGTCCTAAAACGGAAACTGTAATGGCAGTACTAATGTAGAATATCCATTTGTTTCAAGGACGATACGAAGATGAAGACAGAAGAGAACGCCAGCCTTATCTCGAGCCCATCATTGGCCAGACAAGGAGGAGACGTGGGTGAACACTTTTTTTTTCACGGAGAGAGAGAGAGGGAGAGAGAACGAGAGAGAATGTATATATACATGCATACATGATAAACATACATATATATAAACATATATATGTATATGTTTTCATATCTCTATATATACATATACATGGATATTTATATATCAATCAATCAATCATTCGGAGCTAACGCCGGCAGGGGCGCATAGCCGCATCCACCCTTTGCTTCCACCTGCGAGGGTCTCTCATGGCGAGCCGCCAGGCAGGGACCCGGCCAGTCTCTAGTTCCTCACGACAGGTTTGATCGATCTGCCCACGACCTACTTGGTCGTCCCACAGGCCTCTTCCACCTTGGGTTGTATATATGTATATATATATATATAATGAATAATATATGTATATATGTTATGCATAATATATATTTAATATATATATATAATGCAAAATATATATATATATTATATATATAATGCTTTATATATATATATATTATGCATTATATATATATATCATGCATTATATATATATATCATGCATTATATATATATATTATGCATTATATATATATATATATATAT